TATTATGCTGCAGATTTCAAATATCTGACCACAAACTGACATTGGAAATTGAAACTGATATCTGAATAATCTAATACAGTAAATCTATTTTTTTAAACACTGAAAATTCAATAATTCCATTACTTCATCTTAGAAAAATAAAAAAATAATAAACATAATAACAACTAAAATATAATTACAACATACTAGGATGTGTTAATATGGTTATCTTCTACAGTCACAGGACTTTTCAGAAGCCAAACCAAATATCTGGGCACTGCTTCAGCACGTTGTGACAGCATTAGTCCATAACTCATATTAGAATGAAAACACATTCTGCTGTAAACAGAGTCAGGGAGAACCCATGGTGACTGGAGAAGTAATGTCATACTACATCTACTCAAGTTCAAAACATATTTGTAAGGCAACCATGTGAGTAATTTTATATTTATCAATATAACTCTAAGAATCTTTCTTGTAAACAAAGTCACTTACAATGACAAATTCAAGATTTATACAGAATACTAACTTCTCCAGCATACCCTAACCATTTTTTTTACCATTATTAAGAGCACAGTAAACTAAAAACTAACCAAGGCAACAAACAACCCCCCCTTGTGTACTTGGTTATTATGACAGCATGGTTTAACTTGCTTTTAAAGAATTATTTGATCTGTATGAAATATACGGATAGTCCTTGACCTATGACTGTAATGAGCCTGCCCATTATAGTTGCATGTTGTGACAGCTGTTAAGTAAGATTTCCTTGCTTAAAACCCCCACACCTGCTGATGTGGTTAACAGCTGAGCTGCTCAAGATTTTCCCCACCCCAAGACACCCCATGCTCCACTTCCTGCCACTTGAGGTTCCCAAAACCCTTGGGCCTGCTTTCCACCCCACAATACCGGGTCCCTGCAGACCTTTCCCTTCCCAGCAGCTCACCGCAGGGCTTGGGACTCCTTACCACCACCACCTGTTACCATCGCACATTTACCTTTTGAAGACCTCCAGAGTTCCAGACCTCACATTGGGGAAGAAGATCACCCCACTCCATCCCTCAATGTTCTTGGGCCATGCAGCCATGTCACTCAAATGACGGCCATTTCCATGACAGGGCCAAGCAGTCCAGGGACTCCACTCCAATTTCTTAACAGTCTGTGCAGTACTGAGGCTTTCTCTGTTGCCCAGGTATGGAATGGCCTACCTTCCTTACCCAACATGAGGTCCAGACTCAGGAGACCTTCAAAAGATAAGTGTGTGATAGGTGATGGGAGGGAGAGGAGGACCAAGCTCTTCAGGGGACCAATGGGGGGAAAACAGGCCCAAGGCCTGCAGGGACCTGGCAAGATAGGATGGTGGGGGGAGATAGGCAGGGGATGCTACAACTTTCCTGCAGTCAGTTGTAAGGGCAAATGACACGGAGGTGCTGCAGTGGCTGTAATTTCGAAACAGGATCGAAAGTATCTTTTGAGGGGTCTTTTGTAACTTATGGGAAGCTGTCAAGAAATATTGAAAATGATCATTTCACTAAACAGCAGCAACAAAGCAGCAAAAAAATTTCCAAAGGTAATGGGTCTCAACATTATGTAAGCTATCCTAATTCACAAAAGTTTCCCATATGATGCAGCATTTTGCCCAACTGAAGATTACAAAGTGTCAAACATATTTAAGAGTTTTAGTAGTATAGTATATAAAGTAGATACCTTATGTTTTACAATTTTCATAACATTTTTTTAAAATTTCATATTTCTAGACTATGGGCAAGAAGATCTTTCTTTATTCTTAAACCTGAACAGAAGCCTTTGGTGTAAGGGCTAAAATCTTTTCATCTGGACAGATTAAGCAGAATAGCCTATCTAGGAACAATCATTTAAAGACATCAGCTTTACACTTTTGAATGCATAGATAAATTTCATAGATAAATTCATAGATAAGTTTCATAGATAAATTCAGTCTTTTGTCCATACCTGTATTTTCCGTTGTTTGAAAAATATCATTGTAGCACTAGCAAACAGAATTCAGAATGGCAATCTATTGCATACAATCTATCTAGCATTTATTGTGCTAGATAGGCCATGAAACATTAATAACACTGTTTTTTTAATTTTTTAAAACAAATATTAGAGCAATTCCCAAATGTATAGTGGGACTTTCAATAGAATGTAATTCCAATTGTTGTTTGGGTGTACAATAAACATTGCTATCTTGACAATTTTTTTTTCTAAGTGCTAGCTTTTGTAAATAAATATATTTTATTAAATTAGTACAGAAATCAGTTATATCATGAACCATGAACCAGTCATGACTGGAATGTATAAAGCCTATGGCAGTGATGGTGAACCTTTTAGAGACCGAGTGCCCAAAAACTGGCTCCGCCCCCACTCCACCCCCTGCCCCGCCCCCACACTGCCCCCCTTCTCCCACCCCGCTGCCCGCAGGACCACTCACCTCCTCCAGAGCCCACCGCAGATCACCCAGGCAGCCCAGCAGTGCTATGGTGGTCACGCCCTCTGCCCACGCCCTGCAGCATCAACTGTGCACGATGGGGTGTGACAGCAGAGTCTTGTCTACGCTGCCTGGCCGCCATGTACTTGGCTGCACTGCTCCGCGTGGGCCACACTCAGGGGCGACTCTCCTTCAGGGGGGCTGCTGGAGAGGAGGTGGTCGCGTGGGGAGGCGAGGCTGGGGCAACGGCATGTGTGCCCACAGAGAGGGCTCCGAGTGCCGCCTCTGGCACCCGTGCCATAGGTTCGCCACTACTGGCCTATGGAATGCTAAATAATGAAATAATATTTTCTTCATAAGTAGCAAGTAACTTACTATAAACTCATTTATTCTACCACCAATAGGAAGGATGCATAATAGTCATTTTATCATTCTCCAAAAGATAATTAAGATAATTTAAAGAACCTATTTTGACCTTACACAGGTTTGAGTAAATCTTTTATAAATAAAACATTTGTTACTGCCACAAAAAGCAGAACCTCCTAGATTTGTTCTCTGTAGTGAAATGAAATATCTGTTTTGGAGCTGGTAGTATTATCACCCAGTAATGCAGCTTCAAAAAAGCAGAATAAATCTTCTGAAGTTATTGAACAAAGCCTCTGCCCTAGTCTTGAGAATAATTTATTTTTTAAGAATACTGAGTAGTGCATGATTCACTAGCTGCATACTGTACTATAAAGTGTAATAAACTATTAATTTACTTAATACTGTAAGCTAACAAACTTTTTCTTTTAAAGTCCAAATGAGCATTTAAAGATGACACTTAACATTAGCCCACCCAAGTAGTTGCACATGCTGAGGTGATGGCAATTTATTCCCATGAAAAGGTTCCAGCACATGCCCCAGTCAGAAGGTCACTTTAAGAGCCAAGTTGCAACCTTACAACTACTTATAACCATTGTGGCGAACCTATGGCACGCGTGCCACAGGTGGCACGCAGAGCCCTCTCTGTGGGCACGCACTCCATTACCCCACTCCTAAGCCTTCAACTGGGTTTTATAAAACCTTTTCTCTTTAGGCCTCCGCCGCCGTGTGCAAAAAAAAGGGTCAATCAATCAATCAATTTCAACTTGTTGCGGGATTCGCAAAGTTGGAATTGATTGATTGAACTTTTTAGTCCCACCCAGTCTGCTGTTACCACCGAAGCCACACCCACCCAATGGGCCACGCCCACCAAATGGCCACACCCACCCAATGGACCATGCCTACCCGGCACCCGACAATACATCAGTGGGTTTTGGGTTGCAGTTTGGGCACTCGGTTTCTAAAAGGTTCGCCATCACTGACTTATAACCTCTCCCTTAGTTGATCGTGTCCTTGGATAAATACCACCAAACAAAGCTAAGATGCTGGAGTAATACAGACAAAAAGAGGACAGGAAGCATGGAAGTAAGCTCACTACCGTACTTAAAAAGAGTAGCACAACATAATCCTTAATACAAGAAGCTCTATAATATCAGTGTCATACAATTTTGTTCTCATTAAAAATATACTGCCCATTGCCTTAGGTGCCAAATGTGAAACAAATTATATTTTTGTTCAGTTTAGAGAAATACAGCTTTATAAGCAAAATATGGCAGAATACATTAATGTTATTTTACGTTAATACATTTTCAGTAGGAACCAAAAGCTAAATGGAGCTTCTGGAAAGAGAGGATCAAGCATCCTTTGAGCCATCTTCAACAGAAAGTTACTGTTTCCAGCCATGGCCGCTCACACTTTTCATTTGCTTATATCAGCTGCTTTTATAAGTATTTAACTACAATTTCCCAAGATGTCTGTGAAATAAACTTTTGTTTAAAGAAAGGATTATAAGTACTTATATTAAAAAAAATAAACCATCTCAAGCTCTCCAATAGAAAGCAATTTATAATACAAGTCCTGGCAAAACATTGACAAAGATGGAATGGTTCAGTATGTACCAGACCAATCTCTACTACCCTCTTATTTAAAAACAGTGACAATGAAGGCATCCAATTTATCTCCAAAAATAAATAAATATATATCTCACACACAAGTGGGCACGCATGGCAATTTTTTTTTTCTAATACCAATAGTAAAATGTTCATGCCTACCAAAGTAAGAAGTACCTTTAGATACTTAGTCTTAAATCCCAAACCTAGCTCAATAGAAATTAGAGAGTATTAATTATTTAATGGACATGTCCTAAATTCCTGTTTCCCTTCTCTTTTCATTTACTGTGAGTGGAAGACTGGCTGGGGGGGGGGGGAGGCGAGAGGGGAAGGGAAAAAAAAAATACTGGTTTGATGCAAAAATCCAGACTCGAGAGAGGTAGGAAGTGTTGGTTGGAGGGCTAAGGTGGGCTTCAAGTCAGGGTGATCTTTGGGAGGCTGACTTGAGTATTGGCCCCGAGCCTTAGTAAAAGAAGGAGTCGACACAATATCACACTCCGAATCAAAAGAGAAGGGAAGGGGGGGGGGTTCCCGTCTATGATCACCCCGTCTTTCTCTACCCAAATTGCAGTCCATTCCACCCCATCTCCAGCCAAGCTCACGTGGAAAGCTTTCTCGTCCAGAAGAGGCCGCCGGGCCAAAGCTCCTGAAGCTGAACAGCGCGGCTGAGGTTCAGTTTGATCTGGGCGAGGAGGTAGCTGGCCTCGGCTTCTAGCGTATCGCCGTAGGGCAGCAGCTTATTGTACACCAGTTCCTTCTGTACGGCTGGATGCGGTAGGGCTGGCGGTAAGGGAGGCGGCGGCTCGGGAGCGACGCCGGCCTTAGCCATGGCCGCCTCCTTCCTGTCCTGTTGGATAACCGCCTGTCTCCCGCCGCCCCGAAGACTCGGTCGCTTGCCGGCTTCTTCTTCGCGTCGCCCGCCGGATCGGCCCGGCTGTTGGCAGCCCGGCCACCGAACCCGACTGCCTCGAGCGTCTGTCACACAGCGGCTCCTGGTGACGAAGCAACAGAGCGAACGAACCCAGCAGCGCCGACCTTGTCGCCGTCTCCCGCTGCTGCCGCTGCCGCCCAACACTGCTGGCAGAGCAGGCGGGCGACGCGGAGGTCACTTCCGCTGCGAGGGAGGGGGGAGGAGGCGAGGATGAGTTCCCTGGAAGGAGACCCGCGAGATTGAGGAGCCGCGAGGCCGAAGAGAGAAAGAGAGGGGCGGGGGCGAGAACCCAAAGCGGCGGCCGCCGCCGGCCCTCCCGGTCCTGAAGGGGAACGGCGGCGTCCCTCCCTCCCCCCGCGCGCGCTCTGAGGAGGCGGGAGGAGCTCGAGCTCCCTGCTCCAACGGTCATAGCGGTTCCTGGCTCATCCTTAGCGGCCGCGGGGATGGTAGTTTTAAAACGCCTTTCAACCGCCAAAGTTAATAGGGGAGGGGGGAAAAAAAACCCGGCTCCTACGGAGATCGTTAGGTGTGACTCGCGAAGGGAGAGGCGAGAGAAAATTAGGTGCCTGAGGTGACACGCTTAAAAGGCAGTCAGCCAAATAATTTCCTTCGCGTGGAGCAGGTAAATGAAGGAATCCCAAGAAGGGCAGGAGAAGGAAAGAGGAAGGAGATGGAACTGAGTCGGTCGGAGGATGAGTGGCGATGGGGAGAACTGAAAAGCTTCAAGGGGGTTGTTTATTGAAGAAGAAAAAATGAAGCTTGAGAGAAGCAGGAAATAGAGAGGAAGGAAGGCGAAGAGAAAGGCCAGAAAAAGGGCGTTGTAAGAAAGAGCTGAATAGAGGAACGTGGCTTAATTTACTTTGAAAGAGAGATGAGGAGGGAACCTAGGATTTGTGGATCAAAGAACTTGGATTAGGGATAATGAAGGAAAAGGGTACTGTAACTTGTAGAGATTTGAAAGGAGAAAAATACTTTGAAATGGATAGGGCAGGGGTAGGCAACCTTGGCTCTTTTATGACTCGAGGACTTCAACTCCCAGAATTCCTGAGCCAGCATAGCTGGCTCAGGAATTCTGGGAGTTGAAGTCCACGAGTCATAAAAGAGCCAAGGTTGCCTACCCCTGGGATAGGGGCACTGTCACTAAGTAGTACCAGCCTGCTGTTCTTTTGAATCATCTGTTTCTTTCCCCAAGATGGTGGGCCTGTTCTCTGCAGCTGCAATACAAACTTAGGAAAAGGCACATTGGGTTTGAAGAGAGGCAGGCGGCAGATCCTATGTGCTTTGAAATACCCTTTTCCCTTGAATTAAAGTGCTGCATAGCTTTAATATGAAGCCTTCATGAGTATGCAATGTGATTCACACATTGCACAATCCATAAATGACTTGATGTTTGCTTCATTTTATGAATGTAGCAAATTTAAGTTTGAATAAACTGTTTAAGCAGGATATTATTTTAGAGGCCATCAACCTAGTTAACACTAAACCATGATTTGTTGAATAAGACATTGTTGGTCATATTCATGCCACACATGGAGATGAAGCATGAGTTAGTGTTAAGCTAAGTCAATCTATACAACAATCTGAGTATGAAATACCTTTTTTTTCTTTTGCTTCCATTGAATCCAACTGATTTATAAAAGATGCTGTCTTACTAGTTGGGTTTACCAAATGGATTATTACTGGATCCCAGTCACCTGATTATGTGTCATCAAATTTGTGTTCATTGGTAGCACCTGTATAGATAGATAGCAGGATGATCTGTCCCCATCTTGTTCCTTCTGATCACAATGAAAGAATGGTGGTACATTATTGTGGTGCTGTGACCGCAGATTCATTTTTATAATTTACCATTTTTATAATGGTAAATCCTATTGTTTCCAATGCTCATTTACTTGTAGAAGAATAAAGGCAAATTTTAAGTACTATGAATTTATAAATGGTAAATATGCTGCATACACTACAAATTGTATGGACAATAAAAAGTCTGATTCATTAGGACAGAAGATGAAGGTCTTATTTTTGCTCTACAACTGGCTGTTTTCCATCCCAAATAGAACCACATTAACTAATCTCAGTAATTTGCCCTATGACTATTCAAAAAGAATGTATGTTAAATCGCCAATTTAAAAATGGGCTGTGAAGAAATTACATTTCTTCCTAGCCACAAAACAGCAGTAATAGCCTTATTGCTACCATCATTTGACATATGGCAGGAAGAAAAATCTTGTTTGACAATATTTCCATGACACAATGCAAATATAATATTACTATTATATTTTTATCCTTATTAAAATATACCTGGGTCATCTCAAGCCATCAAACATACCTAATGCCTTGTCTCCAATTTTCTCCACAATAATCTGTGAGGTGGGTTTTGCTGAAGGTGATTGGCCCAAAGTCACCCAACCAAATGCTCTGATTCAGTAAGTAATTGGGACTTAAATATTTATTTATTTATTGAAAACTGTATCTGACAGCAGTCATCGTAGGTAACCCACAAAAGATCAACAACAATCATATCACCCATACAAGGAACATCGCGCTTTCCACCATAGCATCATAATACCCATTTGTTATAAATATATTTGCTTATCCTCACCCTATCCTAATACTTGGGGGAAGAGCCAGTTCTTCATCACTTTTCAGAAAGTTAAAAGGGTACAGACCATCTGAATATCAGATGAGGAGCTATTCCAAAGGATGGGTGCAGTTACAAGGAAGGCACTGCTCCAAGGTCCCACTAAAAGACAACATTTAAGGGAAGAGATCTAGAGCAATCCTATTTAAGCTGGTGGAATGGGCAGATACCTAGAGAGAAGACTCACAAATGACTTAATCCTGGGCATTCAAAGCTTTAAAGGTGAGTACCAATATTTTGAATTGCATCTAGAAAGAAGCTGTGAGCCAGTACATAATGGTTTGACATATTGTGATGTAAGGTTTATTTATTTACAGTTAAATCCAAATGTGCTATGCCATGTAAATCTCACCAGATCCAAATATTTTAATTTGGATTTAGTCGATTGCAATTCTACAGATACACCTGGCATTAAGTAGATTTGTCTCTATTAAAGGGAAAAGGTTTAATCTGAATCAGATTTATCCAGTTAACTTGTTCTTTGGGGTGTTTGTATCCTGTTTAAAAGAACCAAAACTGTTACATTTATATATTAATTAATTTGTAATGCATAAAGATTTTGTGGAATAAGTTCTGTTGAACTTAATAGATTTACTTCCAAGTAATGGGTAAATCTAATCCACACTAATGTTTTTTTAAGCAGTAGAACTATCCACAAGCACACTTTTTTCTCTTGGATCACTTACAAATTAATTTCAGTGATAGTCCAGAGAAATTTGACTCATATTATATGAATAAGCTACCTAGTAAATCTCCCCAACTGGAAACATACAAAAGGGATGGAGATTGGTTATAAAAGCAAAAGCTATTTTTAATCATTTTACCCCATTTTACCACCACTATAGATCATCCTGTTTATAAATATATTGTGCTGGAAAAAACAGGATTCAGCTTATGGTATGATATGTGGCCTTGAGGTGCCCCTCCTCACACATTTAATCTAAAAAGAGAATCAAATAGATTACAATAAATTACAAACATTACCTTGAGCACAATAAAGGAAGAAACTAATTAAATGAATGTACCTTAATATTTCAGTTTCAAGTTTTGCAATTACCATAGCCTTATTAACTTCCTGTTAAGAGCTGCTCTGTTGTCACATAGTTGCATATGAACTAGTGACTTTGTTATGCTTCAATTCTTTAGTCTGAATTCATTTTATATGCCTTTGATGATGTCTGAAATAGATGATCTGCAAAGTAAGCAAACTGGCTAATTTCCACTGGCAGAGAATTTTAATACTTTTCACTAAAAAGTTATAAATCTGCTTAGCAGAGAGTAGTTTGGTATTTGGTATGATGCTAGCATCTCAACTGGTGTCTACTCCATTAGCCTCTGTATATGAGAGACAGAGTTCTCACAGTTACTCTGTCTTTTTGATGATTAAGAAGGGGGAAAAACATGGGGGGGGAGAAATAGTTTTTATAGTGCCACCTCTGCTCTGTATAGCATTGTAAAGTGACTAAAGGACTCATATCTCCCTTGGAGAATTGACAAATCTTGCAACAGATGCACACTATTTTTTTTTTAAAAAAGGAAGAGATAAACTAACACCTCTTTTGTACTTGAGATGATAAAATGCCAACATTCCCTGTTGAAAAAGGGGACAGGGCAACTTTAAAAGTGAATTGCAATAGAAAATACAGTGCTCCAGATAGATCACAAGATGATATTCCCCTGTTTCAATAAAAAAAACACACACAATTCTTTGCAAAGAGATTGGAGCAGATTTTCAAAAGTATTGTTCCAGATCTCAGGAGATTGTGAAAAGAAATTATTTCCTCATATACAATCTGATTTACATTTTAAAGCCTGAAATACTCATAATTACTACACTTCTAATTGAGTAATAATAGCTATAACACAGAGAAAGAAACATGCAAATTCTTTCCTACATCTGTTACCTGTTCTTCCAGTAATAGTACCTTAAGCCTCCTTTTCTTTGCTTTAATTTTCCTGGACACCACTTGCCCCCCAAAATTCCAGACTTTAATCTGAGAATCTAAGAGTCAAATTTTCCTTGTTCCTCAACCCAGCAATTTCTGACTTGGTTTTAAACTTTTTGACCCCCA